AGGTGGAAGTAAAAAGTAGGCTGAAAAATAATTACTCCACTAAAGTATAAATAACCAAAATTACTACTTAAGTAAAGTAACAAAGTATTTGTACAGCAGTTAAATGTAAAGAAAAAAGTTTGTTCTGCTCATCCAAACCCAAATTACTTTAAAAAAAAAAAAACATGGTGCTCTGCTAGTTTACTGCTACTTCCGGTGTCTCTGACAGGAAGTTGTACCCACAATAATTTCAACAGTAGCACCCCCAAACATAAGGTGGATATTTTCATTATTTACATTAGTCCACTAGGTGGTGCTCTGCTTTGATGTTTGAGGGACGTTGTAAAGATCACATTTTCTTGATTTTGCCTTCTGACTCTCATCTGACCAGACTTTTTTTAGTTAAGATGTAAAGAGCAAATAGCCACTTACATACTGCATGAATAAACAAAAAGCTCTTCCACAAGCATGATGCAGACCGCAGAGCTGGATACTTCATGGCTCAAAACATCTGTCTCCCGTTAGCTTTCCCCAAAGCAGGACATCAATAGCAGATCATGCACTGGATGCTAATCATGACATTACACATTACAAATCCATTTTATCCTAAAAACCGATGGGTTTTTAGGATAAAATGGATTTGTAATGTGACCCAAAAAGAAAACTGGGTTAAAGTCCAGTTTGAGTGAGGCCCTCCTGTTGACAAACAGACTGAAGCATTTCATGTCAAAGTTGACATCAGAGTATGGCAGTCAGGTTTACCACGTAATAAGTGTTGGATGTTCATACTTAAATCTTATTGGTCAAAACGAAACATTTCAGCTATCAAGATAAAATCTTAAACATTTATCCCAGAAATGACACAACCTTTTACATTTATTGGACATTAAATATGTTATATTACAACTAGTTAAAATAATAATAATAATGTCATGATTAGCATCCAGTAGATACAAATATGAGTCAAACAGTTACAGGTTGTGCCAACAGTATTTTTCTTGATGGAACTGACAAAGAAGAAATAATGAATAATGAAAAAAAAATCTTGCAGCTAAAAGATCAAAGGATTGTGTGGACATGGACATTATGTTTGTGAAGGAAATAATGGGTTGTGTTATTGAGCCGTTGACATATACTGTATATGTAATTTATCTTTTTCAACCGGTGTATTTCCAGACAACAGGAAGATAGCCAAGATAATCCCTCTTTATAAGAATGGTGAGAAATGTATGTTTAACAATTACAACCAATATCCTTGTTACCTCAGTTTTCAAAGATTTTGGAGAAATCATTTGTGAACAGATTAGATCAATTTATCAATAAACATAATATATTAAGCAGCAGTCAGTATGGTTTAGAGCTAATAACTCGACATCAACGGCTCTCGTGGAACTGATAGAACAAATAACAGTACTAAAACTTTACTGTGTTAGTATTTATGTGGGTTTAAAAAAAGCCTTTGACACCATTGACCACAGTATTCTTCTTGAAAAGCTAAATAAAAATGGTATGAGAGGACCAGCATTGCAGTGGGTATCTAGCTATTTGAAAAATAGGAAACAGTTTGTACAACTAAATGATGTAAGATCTGAACTCAGTAATATTACATGTGGAGTTCCACAGGGTTCTGCACTTGGACCAAATTTATTTATTTTGATTTGTTTAATGTATCAGGGTTGTTGAAATGTGTTTTATTTGCAGGTAACACTACACTTTTTTGTTTGGGTAAAGATATAGAAGGAATGATGAAAATGATGCAAACAGAATTTGTAAAAATACAAACCTGGTTTAAATTTAATAGATTGTCGTTAAACCTGGATAAAACTAATTATATGATATTTAGTAAGAAAAAGAGAACTGTTGATGTTCCATTCAGAGTTGTTGGTTTTGCGATCTGTAGAGTCAGTGAAGTTTTTGGGTGTCATTATTGATGAAAAGCTAACATGGAAATCCCACATAAATCATTTAAGAACAAAAATAGCCAAATCCATTAAAGTATTATACAAAATAAAGCAAAGGACTTATTTAACGATAAAGCTCTGTTTATATTATATAATGCAATAATTGTTCCACACTTGATTTATTGTGCTGAAGTCTGGGGTAAAGTGTGCAAAACAATCACAAATCCTATTTTTATTTTACAGAAAAGAGCCGTCAGAATTATCACCAGAAAACATTACTGTCACCCATCGAACATATTATTTTGTACATTGAAATTATTAAAATTTTGAGTTGGTTGATTATATCATCTTTCAGATTATGTATAAGACTCATAAAAAATTTAACCTTTAAACATCCAGTTATATTTTGTTAAGAAAGTTTATATAATCTTAAGGGACTTGAGATGTTTAT